TCCTCTTCTTCTCCATGCCAACAGAAACATAGTTAAGCACGTCCGTTTGCTGCCGGTGGATTTCTGCTGGCATTTTTCTTTTCATCATGCGATCCAGTTTTATCCTGTTGAACGCATTGCGACAAGATCTATGCCACATAGTATACGACTTGTTTATGTGTAAGCAATTCCATTTCAACAAGAGAGGATAAAGGGGACAGAGAAGGCATCCCCCCTACACACCCTATCATAGGTAATTCGTCTCGAGTTATTTTTAGAATCGGGATAAAGTTACCTCGCGCGAGGCGTGGATTTTTCGTGGAGGTTTCGGATGACTAAACGCCGTGCAAAACATTTCGGGCGAAAGGCAATAAAAGCGTAAAGAGACAAGAGCATTCCTGAATATTGAAGCGAAATGAGTCGGCGTTCACCTGGGAAAAGGGAATCGCTGGACTCTTTGACAACCCATGAAATCAGTTTAACTCCTCAGTGCTTTAATAAAATGAGAAATCTCGCCGGTCTATTGACATTGGTCGTTTGTACAATAAAGCAAGTAGGACGCCAAGTGTTATTTTTGTTGAATAATGAAAGACTAATAAAAGAATAAATATCAAACCAGAAATTACTCTCTTCAAACGGTAAATTATAAATGATCCTGAGAGAATATTCAGTGTGTTAAGGATTTCCCTGCTGTACTGTTAGCTCTATACAAGAGAGGAAGGGCGATTCTTTTTTAATTTCCGTTTCGCTGACACAGCTTTAGCAGAAATCTCTCTGTAGTCGTTTTCGTCAACAAGACTAATAGCAATATCGCTCTCCGCGTCTTCTGCCATTTTGTTCTGCGTCAATTCGTGAAGGGCGCGTGGCTCTGAGCGTGGGTCATCCACGCGGAACACATTCGCGCTATGTGATTGGTTGTTGTCTAATCCCCCTTGAGAGTTGTGCTGTTAAAAATAACTCGAGACGAATTACCTATGGAATAGGGTGTGTATGGGGGATGCCCTCTCTGTCCCCTTTATCCTCTCTTGGTGCAGGACATCGATTTAAGTGAGTTAATTCATGTTTTGCAATCTGTCTCCATTGTGACTTCTGAACACACGACGATTTTTGTCGTCATTAACTTTTTGATTGCTAAGGTGTCCCCCGAATATAGGTGAAACCCGGGTTTGGACCCAGAAAAAGTGGTCCTTCTCGCTGAATAGAGGTTTCCCTTCAATAGAGGCAACAAATACAGAGATTGTGTGAAGATTTTTCCGGGACCAAATTTTGTGTCCCCCGAATGGAGGTGTTACTTGAATAGAGATATCTCAAAGGAAAGGTTCCCCTGCAATTTGTCAAAAATGGTATATAAAAGGGTAAGGGATCGGACCTTTGGGTGGAGCCTTCCCGTATATAGGGTAACAGAATGTTCTGGAAAAAAAACCCCTGCATCTAGTAAGTTACGAAAAATCTTCAAGACATTTAACGTTACTTAACAGAAAGAAATACAGAAATATATCACGGGGGACAGACACGGACACTGAGAAACACTCAAACGCGGTGAATTCTAACACTGAAAACGACTGTTGTTTTACTGCCAAGTAGACAAGGTTGACGTAAAACTTTTGAGCCTATTATAGATTTTGTCCTGAAAAACCAAAATCCATCACTAAACAACGGAGCGAAGTAATTCTGACCGCCGAGCTAACGATCATGCCACTTAAACTAACGGCTTGGTCACCTGACCCAAAAGAGGGCGAAAATTTACCCTATCGCGCGGGCCTGGCCCGGGCTAGCAGCTACACTGTAGTTACAATTATTGATTGGGTACTGAGATAAACTTTGACACAGTGTGACATAATTGTTTTAACCAAAATCATGATAACACCATCAAAACTTTTTTATTATTAGTATCATTCGTTAGTTTCAAACGATGCTAGTATATGTATGTAAAAATGAAATTATCTCACCCCGCTTGTTACCTAGCAATCCGTACTGTAAAACGTCAAATGAAAAGTTATAACACTCACTTCAGTGTCTACGTATTAGTTCTTACAAACGGATTTTATCAATGAAAATCGACTACAAAAATTTCCCTTTTGTGGCTGAATTAAGAAGCTTGTGTTACAAAAAAATGTGTTTGTAGAACACAACAGAGTCAATTATCTTACGTTAAATAAATCAAAGCATTACTTTAGCAACATAGAATCTTACGGTTAACTTACGAAGGTTCCTGCCTACTACACAGTGATAGAGTATACTGTTCGGTCGACATAATTGTAAATAATTTCATTCCTCCCGTAAGAATAGATTTTAGGCCGTCATTAAAATGCTTCGGCAGTTTAGTTTCGCGGGTGGAAAACTTTAGCTTCTCTTAATATTTTCTGAGTCTGCAGAGGGTTTATGTTTCATTATCAGTTTCTCTTTAGTAATAGACATAAACTCCGCTCTCGTTAAGGTTTGGTTCTTGATCTTCGATTATCCCATTCGAGTGATGGTTATTTCTCTTGCTATCGCCTTTTATAATTATGGTTGTGCGATCAATAAGGAGCAGGGTTTTTTACAGTAGAGCCATGCGTTGAATACTATTTCGCCTGAGAAGTAACTGTTGAAGTGTGTCTCCACGCGAGTAAAGCCAACACATGCGCGTTCGTATCTGGAAAACCTTTATTAAGTCAAGAAATGTCTTAGTTAAAGGTCTCGTGATTCCCACGCCGAGTGTTTTGGATGCGGGCAAGTGCAAGTAAGTGATTACCAAGAACTCCTATTAAAGTAACAACTCAGTCGTATGAAGCGCGAATTGTGATCTCCTGTTTCAGTTAATCATCAGCCATGGGTAGATTCAATCGACCCTTTATAGCAAATTTGCATAATTGTTTTTGGTGAGCAAAGCCCGTTATCCCTGGGGACATAAGGGAGTTTAAGATACGGAGACTACGGACTACGAACTACGGCTGGACGAGCGTTGTCGTTTGTTTGTAGTACTAGGTTGAGTCGTGCAAATATAGAGCGTTAATATTGCACTACAGACGTAGACTTCGAGAGAAGAGGCGGAGAGGGAAACAACACGCAAAGATTTTCTTGTTTTCATCACAGTTCACAAAAATGCAAGTCAGTTTTGCATGTGATCTTATCAATGAACAATGAACAAATTCTTCCATACTTGAAGGAAGCAATTACGTCCAAGTCCATTTGCCTACAAGTTGATTCACCTACAAGTTTACTCCTTGTTCCATCACCATAGCTCGGGTGAAGTTTTGATTGCACAGGTTTTATTTTTTTCGCCCATGAATACTTATGTAAAATACTAAAGACATCGAGAGAAATAGTACTAGCTCATTTATTAGATCATAGTTATTAGAGGAGACTGGTTATGAAAAGCGGCAAACATCAATGATAAAAACAACAGTGCTGCAGTTTATGTTGGAAGCACCCTGAAAGTGCACAATCCTTTGTTTTCTGTTGGCAAATTGTTACGGAATAAATTAATGCAACGTTTTTATTGGTCAATACAATCAAAATGATAGGAATTCTTTTGAACGTTGTGCACTTTCAGGTCCACAAAAACATATAACAAAGGAGTCTGACGGGTTTCATAACCATTCCACTCAATTAACTATGGAACAACACAGTAAACAAGACTCATATAATTATTTAATTCAACAATTTCATTTGCGGTTGCTTTAATAGATACAATTAGCCTGCGAATGGTAAGGAGCGAGAAAAGACGTTTGTATTTTATTCGCCGGCAAAGATGCATTGAAACAGTAATGCATGACACAAGTAATGCGGGTATGCAGTCTCTCACAAAGTCTTACTTTTCAATCGAATATTCAATCCGTGTTCAATGACCAAAGGCCGTTGATATGCGATACAAAAAATGAAACAGTGAAAGCGTATACAAATATAAAATCCTGAAAAACCATGCAGTAGTGAAATCAGAATGAACTTTTATATAATTTACGTCGTTTTCTAAACTTTGCTAGCCCTCGTGTCTTACCGAAAACTTGTCCCGCGCTAAGCCGAGATCAGGCTGTACTTTTATCTTCCTGGGTAAATAATCGGATTCCAGGCCAGCAAGGAGAATCGAAAAGTCGCCCATTTAGTGCAATACTTGTTGACCTGAATTACGTGCGCTTCGGAATCGAATGTGTATTAATGATTGTTCCATCACTTGGATATGCAATAAATCTAGGCTCACCTTTCCGAACACTTGCTTTTCTTCTTGCAGGTCTTCTTCTTACTCAAACTTCTGCGCATGCAGCGATACGCAGCGTAAGCCCTTTGAAAAAAGCTGACCTTGCAACGTGAAAAGAGCTGACCATTCATATTCACGCGAGGGCCTTGTTGGCTTGCCTCACATACCATGCATATTAGTCGGTACAACATAGGAATGTGAAAGGAACGTGAACAGATCGAGAACAAAACCGCCTACACGGTTAAAAAAGTGCCACTGACTTGCTACTTCTGGCAAATCTCAGTAGGAGTGTGCCACTCGGTTCTCCAAATCAAGATCCTATTTTAGACAAGGAAATGTCATTTTCCACGACCGTTTTAGGACCTTACTTCCAAAACCCAGACCGGCTGTCGGAGGTGAAATAATTTAGATTAGACACGAACAAAAAATATTTCTTAAGATCCATTTCTCCTAACTTTCTTATGATTAGGCATTCAAACGACTAATACGACAATCCCTCGAAAACGATACCCCATTCCAGATCTAAATGTGCAAAGTCTATACCCGTTGTTAGACAAGAAACGGCGCTAAATCCATACCCTTTGGGGTGGCACACAACTGTACATGTCTTACATAAAGGAGTAGCACCCCCGAGGACAAATACACTGATCAAGTTTATGTGATGATTTATCTGGAAATGTAGATCTAAATGTCAGTTGTATAAAGGACTTACTGTGTTTTTTTTCTCCCCTTTATAATCAGTCTTTGTGATGTCATTATCCATACTTTCTAAAAGCTTTTTTTGTTTAAAAATTCTCTTTTCTTCCTTAGATTGCACGGAGTGGCTGAATTGATAAACCAACCGATGGATAAAATGTTGAACTCGCAAAAAGAAGACTTTAAAGACACTAATGTCGAAAGAAACAATAATTCATTCGATGTATTGGGTAAGAAAAGATACCTTACATCGTATAATCCAAAAATTAAAACACAGACGATTCCGTAGACTGTTGCCCCGCGAGCAGAGGTTTTTGTCTGTTGTTGTTTGTTTGTTTGTTTTTTTCCTTCGGGTGGCTTGCCACCAGTTGCTTGTGTTTTGTTAGTAGCCTCGCGAACGACTTCGTAAGTGTTATGGTATAACAGCCCGAAGGGGGAGAGGGGTACTATCTATAATGGCTGGCCTGCAAAAACATCCGTTTTTCCTCACTACTTCGCCGCTGGGGACGTTTCGCGCGCAGGAACGTCTACGACTCAGCGACAGAAATTCCATGATCGTGCCATATAGTCCGGCGGCATAGCTCAAAATTTCGGTTGAATCGGCACTTTTAGAGTACAAGCATGAAATTTGGCACCCTGGTAGTAGTCACCAATACAAGCATTTTCAGATATAGTGCTAAGCCGGAATTATGTTGGTTTCCATAGAAACCACAATTAATTAAAATTCATGAAAATTCCATGAAATTCCTTTTTCTTAGTTTATCAAGACACAGTATCATTTCAGTCAGTAATACCAATCTGTTTACCGCGGAGTTCTTGTTTAGATGTTTAGATTTAAATAGCCAAGGCCCTTTCAAAGAGATGAGCGTGTAGGATGTTGTGGGGTTTTTTGTCTGTCCCTTAGGCACCCAAAGTTCCTTCAAGTCTAATTAATCCTGTTCTAGCTAGACTCTAAGAAAGTGGGGAATACGAGAGCGTGAAAGTTCGAATCATAATTGATTAGAGACCATTTTCTTCTGCATCGGCTACACGAACTTGCATTTTCATGTCCTCTTCTTCTCCACGCCAACAGAAACATAGTTGAGCGTGCCCGTTTGCTGCCGGTGGATTTCTACTGGCATTTTTTTTTTCATCATGTGATCCAGTTTCATCCTGTTGAACGCATTACGACAAGATCTATGACACATAGCATACGACTTGCTTATGTGTAAGCAATTCTATTTCAAACGTTTAAACATTTCCCGGTCAATTGCAAAATTTAATACCCCCCCGCCCTCGCGCCGCCTCATAAAATTACGTCTTGCACAAAACTCAAAGTAAGGTATCCAGCACCAGATTAGTGCCGTTCCAGTTAACAGGGCAGGCTACACAATCTGTTGCAGTCAATATTTCAAGCAGCTAGATAATGTATAAAAAACCATGGTCAATTTTTGTCTGCGACTTTGTGTGTTGAATTCCCTTAAGTGCAGGACATCGATTTAAGTGAGTTAATTCATGTTTTGAAGTCTGTCTCCATTGTGACTTCTGAACACACAACATTTTAATTTTGTCGTCAGTAACTTTTTGATTGCTAAGGTGTCCCCTGAATAGAGGTGAAACCAGGGTTTGGACCCAGAAAAAGTGGCCCTTCCCCCTGAATAGAGGTTTCCCTTCAATAGAGGTAACAAATACAGAGATTATGTGAACATTTTTCGGGGACCAAATTTTTTGTCCCTCGAATGGAGGTGTTACTTGAATAGAGGTGTCTCAAAGGAGAGGTTCCACTGTAATTTGTCAAAAATGGTATGTAACAGGGTAAGGTATCGGACCTTGGGGCGGAGCCCTCCCGTACGTAGGGTAACAGAATGTTCTGGAAAAAGAAAAAGAAAACCCTGCATCCAGTAAGTTACGAAAAATCTTCAACACAATTAACGTTACTCAACAGAAAGAAATACAGAATCATATCACAGGGGACAGACACGGACACTGGACTGTTATTCATCAAGGCTCTCGCTCTTCTTTGCAGATCATTATCGCAATATTGCAGACAAGTATGACTACTTCTACAAAGAAGTTCACCAAGGTTACATTCCCATCCTAATGAAATGTTTGGACTTAAAGCCAGAGCACGTGGTCGCTGACATTGGCAGTGGAACGGGTGCCATTGCGAAAGATCTCTTTGAATTATCAGATCTTCACAATCCTATTTGGTGTGTTGACCCCAGTCCGGAAATGCAAGAAGTTGCTCGACAAAAGAAAGGGGTTAACTCTATTCTTAAAACAGCTGAAGAATTTTTTTCGAATCCGCAAATTAGCGAGAGGTTTGACCGAGTGATAGCTACTATAAGTGCACATCATTTTGTAAACGCCGATGCTGTTTTTGAGGGAATACTCCGTAGTCTACGTCCCGGTGGTTTTTTCTTGCAATTCAACGCCATCAAGAGCACTCTCCCGTCATTTAAAAGTGCAAAAATGCTTCTTAGCCAATGTTTTGAGCGAGAGAGCGAATTCAGCGACCTATTGCTGAGAAAAATCGGTTTAAATGGAAAAATTTCTGAGGAGGAGTTCTCCTTTTCAGCGGGGATAAAGAAATCGAAGCTGTACGAACGATATCGATGCCGTTTTGTAAGTTTATTTCAGAAATTAAGCGATGACCAAATTGAAGAGGGAATAAACGAGTTAGACAATGAACATTTTCAAAATGTCAATGATGATGAGGTCATCAATTACGAGTGCGCAGTGCTTGTGACAAAAGTAGAGAAAGTAGCTTGAAATAGCTCTGATACGCATGCTACAGTGTCATTTTAGTGGCTTCTTATATGATAGTAGATTGCAGGGTTTCACTGTAACAGTTACACCATCAAAAATCAAAATCAAAATCAAAATCCTTCAGTAGATAATGTTAAGAATGTGGGAAGCGAAAGGAGAACCATAACTGTATTGCATTGTATTGCCAGCATTAATTACATGGTATTGTTTCGTATACTATTTATACTATTGTATTATATCGTATTGTATATCGTATTTTAGTAAAATCCAGCTAGTGGTCTATTATCAATGCTGCGTTCTGATTGGTTGAGCTACTACTGGTCTATATGTTATAACCCACTAGTAGCGAAAAGCGGGGGCTTTTTGGCGGCAAAAAAGGATTAAAGTCTAGCTTTAACTACTAAAATTTTTTTATTCTCGTTATTTTTGACCAACTAGTTGGATTTTACCAAAACGATTATTCCTTTCGCCCTCATGGCCTCTGAGTCAATAGCCCATTCGGCCTTCGGTCTCATGGGTTATTGACTCAGAGCTCATTCGGGCTCAAGGAACAATTGTTAAGTTTTTTTTTTTTTT